GCTGCAACAGCAGCCCTTTAAAAGGCAATTTGGATTTGGATTTGCTTGGTTTGAACGTTCTGCAGGGCTCTCCTCCCAGATAATGCTACTGGTGTGGATTACCCCTGCCCCAGCCTCTCCATCCAATTCTGGGGGATATTCTGCTGCCCCAGCCATCGCTGCCTGCGCGTGGTTCTCACCTACGCTCAGTCTCACAGCCAGAGCTCCAGGACAGACTTCAGAGTCCTTTTGCAATTCCAATAACAAAAAAGGCCGTATTAGACGAATCCAAAACGTCAGATGAAAGAGCTGAACAGCTGCTCCATCTCAACAGGACGAGTTCCTAACGCTCAAGCACTGTCTGCCACTGACAGCCGAGTTCTGAGGGACTGGAAAAGATCCCAACACAAACAGCTTCAGCTTTGGGAAAAAGCCCTCGCACCGGAAGTCTTGAAGGGTTTCATAAAACAAATGCTCGCAGGTCACCTTTTTTTAAACTTTCCATGCTTACCGGACTGGACTTTTGCATTCTCATTTGCATTAACTCTGCAAAACACCATCGTGGCGTGCAGCAGTACCAGACACCAGGCGAAGCTCACCCCGCAGTTACTGATACTGCTCTGAAGCTGTGACACCTTGTGTTCTCCTCACACACACTAGCAATTTTGTCCAAAACAAATTACCCATATTGCATATTTGTGCAGCATGACACGTTCCTTCAGAGTAACTGCTAGGAGATTATTGGTTTATCCTAGAAACGTCTTTCCCCTGCTTGTGCTTAGTATCAGCACAGCAATTAAACCCTCCTAAAATAGTTCTAGAGTCCAGGCAACAATCAACTGTATGCAACAGTCTTTCAATTTTTATTTAGCAATTAATTCAGTGATTTCAGGCCTTTGGAGGCCAGAAATGAATGGCAGATTTAGATTAAATTATTTCTGCCTTTAAAAGTTACAGCAACCTGCACACAGTGTGCTACCTCAGCATGGACTATTTGGAACACTGTACGGCTGTGTGGTTTTCTGGATAAAAACTGTTAGAAACAATTACATTCAAAACCTCACTGCAATTTAAAATGGTGCAAGTCAGGACTCGAAAAAGAAATTAATTAATATACTTTTCCTACTGTCACTTGTAACAGATTTCCCACAGAGATGCCTCTTAAGATAGTTTTGATGATAATAAAACCAATCGCTTGATTCCACAATCTTTGATGAACAGCAATAACTTCTCAAAACTGCAGACACAGACAAGACAAACACAGTCCCCACACACCTCAGAGTCACAGTTTGTGATCCCATGGGAGCGGATACACCCCAACCACCAGGACATTTTCACAGGATTTCAGCGGCAGCGCTCACAGCTTGAACAAAGCAATAACTCCCTGTGTGCCTCCAGAGAAGCTGCGGTTCCTCTTCACCGCCCTGGGAATCCTGCACGGAAACAGCACGAGCGCCTCTTGCAGAGGTACTGAGGCTTTACCCCTCGCTCCCCAGCCTGTGAGCCCTGGCAGGTTCACCGGGTATTTTATTAGTATTAGTATCTGTAAGAATCCCAGCAGATGGCAGCAGCATGTCTCCCTGGCTAAACAGGGAGCACTTCTCCAAAGGACAGCTCCTTGTTCTCACAACATCCTCAAGACTTCCAAAAATCAGACACACCATTCGAAACGCGGGGCACAGACAAGAGTTTGTTGCCGAAACTCAAACCTGGATATTTCTCCCCACGCTTTAAGAATGCGTTAACGGCGAATATCTACAGTGCAAGTCGCCCTGTTTTCAGCAAATCGGGTACCACGAGCCACGCCAGAGTGCAGCTGAGCAGAACGTGGGGCAGGCACCTCCACATCCCTTCCCGCTCCAGCAAACACCGAGCATCGGTGTTGCACTAACACGCACACCTTAACTCCGTGCTGAAGCGCGCTGAAAACAGACAAACATAGCAGTTTATCGCCACTTCTTCACGAGACTCCGCTCCACTTCGCCAGCCCGGGGGCAGCTGACTCCCGAGCCCGGCTCAGCCGCAGCAGACACCGTGCCACGCGTGGCCGACGCCAGCCGCAGCGGCGAGCGGGCGCGCCCCGCCGC